AGTAAGGGCAAATAAGAGATCTTAGCAGATTTAATAAAGACTGCATGACTGGAAATAATCGGAATTGTTCTTTTTTGAATTTCAGATTTCATATCCAGCATTCCATGGAACAAAATCAGAGGAAGGCAAGCGGGAAAAAAAGCTTCCCTTAACCTCTGCACCAAAAACTGCATCAATATATTTCATCTATCGTCATTCCATGGAATAGTACTCAGTTCTCGAATTTTCCTTTTGGCCCAGGGTTAAATTCATTTGAATGGTTATTAAAGGAATCTACATAAGGGTATTCCTGTTCTATTATTTTCTGCAACGGTCTAACAGTACTTTCGAGAACGTAAAAAGAAGAACAACCTTGCAGTTTTTCACGCTTGAAGTTCTCTATAGAACTAAGCTTTTTGTCAGAAGCTAAAATGATCTCTATAGTACAATTGACTTTATGAAAAAGTACAAGTGTTGTTTAGTGAAAAACAAGAATCTTTTTTCTAGGCTAACAATCAATTTTTGAGTTGTTTTACATTGGTTGCAGCATAAATAATTCCCAAATGCGCAAGACATTTACAAAGTACAGGATGTTATTGCGATTAATACCAATTCTGTGGGCTATACGATCATCGTCTTCAACGTTGAGGTGCATTTGATTATCCCTTTTGCTTAAAAAAGTTTATACTATACAATAACTAGCAGGGAAGTATAGGCAAAAGATATAAATCGTGACCGGGAACGCGCCGACTGATGCCAGAGGTCAAATAATGCGCGCGTCTCCAGGTAGAACTAAGCGCGCACGCGCCCAGTTAGGCCAACGCCAACAACATCAGAACCTAGCTTGAATCGCCAGTTGTTTGAAGCTCATGAGATGCGTGAAACTGATTTTTTTGCCCAGCTCTGTGACTCACGGAACTCGCTTGCCACCCGGATCTTCCCGAGAGTTGTTGGGGGAAATGACGAGAATCCGTCGCTCTCAATTTTATTTGTTTATGAGATGTCCTGCATACACGAAGCGGCCGCCTGCGCGGAAGCGGAATTCTCAAATCTTGATTGTCCAGCTACGCCCCATCTGACTGTAAATCTAGCAAGAAGCTGTGGTGGTTGTCTGCAAGAGATTCCAACTGCTAAGCCTAATTTCATGCACCCTGAAGGTTACTGCGTGCTAAGTAATGTGTAAGTAATGGCACCCACCTGTATCGCAGTCCATGGCTGTAGTGGTGGGTCCCGCCTTCGTCGACGCCGCGACGATGGCGGTGACCC